TGTTGCACATTCAAAATCCTTCTCACCTCTAACCCTAACTTCCTTCAAAGGACTCTAAATCAACCATAGAAAGGGAGAAAGAAGAGAGACACTTTGATTAACTCAAAATCAGAGGTTTGTATACATTACCTGATTTCGGTTTCGAAAGACTTGATGTAGAGATCCCCAGATGATGCCCCAGTTCACGCGCAGGAAATGCACAGTAAAGCTTTTCGCAGAAGTTTTGCAGGAAAAGAAATGCAAGTAAACCTCTTTCTGCAGAAAAAATGCCTATTTATACCTCTGGGCAAAATTAGATCTCAACGGCTAAGATTCGTTTAATCTTACGGTTCCTATTAACACCGTTTGGAATTCGATGGCCAACTCCAAATGGTATCGTTTTGAATTTGACGGTTCGTTTTTTAAAATTTTGCCCGTTTAACTGTTGCAGTTGCCAGTTATCTTTTTACGGCTGCATTAATTGCACACGTCATTCCACGGACACCTGTTAGACTTTTCAGACAGGCCCACTTACTCCCATTTCAACACCTTTGTTCACTTTTGCATATTCTCAATTTTGCAAGTGTTTCACCTCGGCTCCGACCATAATAATCATGCATTACATTTCACATCGATTTCGACCACAGTGATCCAGTATCACACATTTTATTTCGGCTCCGGCCATTTTGACTCCGGTCATTATATTTCATTATGGCTCCGGCCATTTTGACTTCCGTCTTTATACTTAAGCCTAGCTTAGCACTTCTGTTTACTTTTACAATTACACTTTTTAACTGGCAGTGTCTTACTTCAGCTCCGGCCACAGAAACACATGTTTTACTTCAGTCCTAGTTACTGTGACTACATGTCACATACTCTACCTCGGCTCCGGCCATTATGACTCTGGTCATCATATTTTATTACGACTCCGGTCATTATGACTCCGGTCATTATGACTCCGGTCATCATTTTCCATCACGGCTCCGGCCTCTATGACTCTGGTCATCATTTTTATCACAGCTCTGGTTACATTATTTTTACCACGGCCACGGCCACAATCGCTCTGGTCATAATCTATTTAAGACACCCCTGGTATGGCCCACTATCACATACTTCATTACTAGCTAAGGCTATGTGTATATTTGAATTACAAATTTTATTTCTTCCTTTTACTCTTATGATTTATCCGTAATTCTCTTTGTTTATGCACTCCCCTCACTATCCCCCAACAATATCATTCACAAGTGAATGACTTCGCAGGGGGGGAATAGTGTAAGGACAGGTCCGAGGTGCCAAGCCTCGGACTAATACAGTAATTCCTTTATGACCGAAGTGAAGGATAAATCCAAAGCTTCCCGCTCAAATAGCTGCATGACAGTGACAATGAGCATGCCCACACCTGATCCTTTATGATGAGCTGTACAGCAATTAAGGTGGACATCCTTGCACCTGAATACTTCTCAAATTCCCGGTCCCGAAATAATCGTCTGGATAGACACGTCAGGCTCCGATTATCTTGCTTAGCATGCCACATGGGCTCTTCATTGGATCCTATAAATACCCCCCATGGGCCACGTCAAAAGGTAATTGAAACCAACCCTAAGCTCTTTTTATCTCCGCTCTAAAGGTAGCCTCGATTATTGCTGACTTAAGCATCGAAGTGTCTACCCCGAGTTTCACCTCGGGGTTTTGCAGGTCATCTCGGAGTGCAAACGCGGATTAAAGAAGGACTTCTGGTTTGGTGCAATTACACTTTTTACCCTTTTTTTTCAAGTGGTGGTGTGCCTGTGGCTTGGGCCTCTTGCTCAGTGCAGGGGAGAAGAAGAAGAGCAAAACGCGCGGGTGAAGAAAGAAAGAAAGAAGGAAAAAAATTAGCCATCCTTATCCTAATTTCTTTTCGCTTTTAAGTCCCTCAAATTTTGAAAAATTAATGATTAGACTCAATAATATTATTTTCTCACAATTAGGTCTCTAGGTCACACTTAATGTTCTAGACATTTTTGGGGTATTACATTAGGCTTTTCTTAACGAAACAAAGGACCTAACCTATTATAATAATCTTTTGGGCACCTGATCAAGCAACCCACCTTTAATTCCAAGTTTTACACCTATTTATATCACACCATATAAAATTGAGGTAAAAGCAAAACCCACTTGTATCATGTCATGCCCTAGAACCCAAATCCAAAGGCGAGACAGACGCCGTACACTTGTGAGAGGATCTAACAAATGCATAAGGCTCGGAACTTATTAAATTCATAACTACAATCCATCGAACATTTTTTGCAAAAATCTGAAAATAAAATTTTACTACAAATCTAATTACAAAATAAGCTAAGTCCAAATATATGTGGCTAGTCTAACTCCAAGATAATCTAAGTTTGAAACACAAATGGCTAGCCTTCTAGCTCATCACTCCCCTCAGTTTTCCCACGTCTTTGGTTTTAGTACCTAAAATGGTGAACGAGGAAAAACTCTGTGAGATAACTCAGTAAGTAAAAATATGGATAGCCCTTAATTAAAATTTTTAGTATGCCAACAAGTGTAATCATGTATAAAAAAAAAAAACAAACAGGTACAAGTACGGGAATGAAATAAACGTCTGCTTTATAGGTCATGGCCAACGTTTATAAACCTCCCATTGGCGGGGATAGAAGTAACCAGTGTATTATCCCACTGGCAGGAATATAGGATGAACCAGTTCTTATGAATACATGTCGACATGTGCTAGCGTTTATAAACCTCTCACTAGCGGGCACAATAAAACATGGCCATATCGGAGACAAAACCAGGCAAGATTTAACAGGAAAATCATAATTTATAAATAATTCTCAGATCATTAGGGTAGTTAAGTAAACTCCAAGTAGGCATGCTCAACTCAATGAAAATGATAATAATTTCATTTCAAACCAATCATGCTCGTGTTTGTGTAAAACGGGTTTAGTCCCGCCACCATTTCAAAAACCATCAGAAATATGCTTTCGAAAACCTTTACCTCAAATCCAAAGGCATTACCATACTTTTACTTACCTCTTCTTGTAGGCTTACAACAGCAAGTATTCAAGGTTTCAAGGAGATGGTGGTGACTTAGAACCTATTTCATAATCAAGAACAACAGGGTCACAACATGCCTCATTCAACTAAAATTGATCTTTAATCCTAGCACCAAGTTCTATCCCAAAGGAACAATTTCTCCCTATCTTCTCTTGCCATTTTACCCACCAAAACCTTACTAGTATATATATATATAACTCACATGCATAGTCATATATAAATTTCCAAAGATGACAGCTGACCTACAAACATTTTTGGCAAGGAGCAGCAAAACTTGGCAAATGGTAGAAAAAATTTGGGGAAAAATGATGTTGAAAACAGCAAGGAAAAATGCAGCAAAATGCAGAATTTTTCTGGGGAAAATACAGAATTTTTTGGTTTAAAAACAGTGTAGAAAACAGCTAGGGAAATGTAGCAAAAATGTAGAAGCAAAAGTAGTCAAGATTGCAGAAAAATGCAATAGCAAAACAAATTGCAGAAAAACAAATTGTAGAAAAGTACAACAGAAAGACAGGTTGTAGAAAATGCAACAGCAAAACAGGTTATAGAAAATGTAGCAGCAAAAACAGCATAATTTTTTTGCGTGAACAATAAAATTTTATGGCAAAAACAGTAGGATTTTCTAGTAAAACAATAGTAAAAACAGCAGCGAAGACAACATAATTTTCTACGTGAACAGTAAAATTTCATGGCAAAAACAGCAGGGGAATCTAAGCATAACAGCAGCTAAACACTGGACAAACAGTGTCACAATCTTTCAAAAAGATAAGAAACGAAATACCCATAAATCTTATGCATTTCCCCCAATTCTAAATGGTCAATTTTCAACTAAATCTACCAAAATTAAAGAAAGAATGAGATTGGTTTCATGCTCAATTTTACTAGAAAATTGTGAGTGAGAGAGACGATTCCTCCTAAAATGGAAGCCCGAAAGGCAAAGATAGCCAGAACTTGAGGGGGGGCTAGCATCTTATCACACCCCAAAACCCGAATTCGAGACACGACAGATGCCGTGCACTCGTGAATGGGTCCCACGAATGCACAAGGCTCAGAACTTATCCAATTCATGTCTGACAATCCAATAACTTAGATCAAATATTTCAAAATTAATTTTATGTCCAACATGACTTAAACTCAAAATCTCAGGGTCAAATCTTTTGTAAACTAACAATCCATTAAATGAATGTATAAAATCTCCAATTAAACTTTAGTTTACAAGATTATGATCTATATCTCAAATCTATATTCACTTTACAAAATTGCTAGCCTTCTAACTCGTCACTCCCCTTGGTTTCCCGTCCTCAATTTCGCTTCCTGAAATGGTGGACAAGGAAAACTATGAGATAACTCAGTAAGTAAATATGGATAGCCCTTGGATAAAAATTTAAGCATGCTAAATAAACCATGTAAGCATAACAAAGCTTTCAAGGATAACTCGTTAAAATAGAATTAGATTCAGTTCAATAGCAAAACGTTCAATGACAAAACCGTTAATGCAAAATCCAATTCGGTTCAATAACAAAGTGTTCAATGACAAACCATTAATGTAGAAGAAAAATTCAGTTCAGTAGTCTCATCTATAAGTCATGGCCAGCATTTATAAACCTCCCACTGGCGGGCACAATAGTTACCAATGTTTAACCCCATTGGCAAGGTTAGAGAAGTACCAGTGTTAAACAAACTCCCACTAGCAGGCGTCAGTAATGGTACCAATGTTTACAAACTCCCACTGGCAAGCGTCAGTAATTACCAATGTATTCGCCTATTGGTAGGCGTCGGTAGTACCAGTGTTTAATAAACTCCTACTGGCAAGCGTCAGTAATTACCAATATATTATCTCATTGGCAGGATGAACCGATTCTACAGAAATACATGTCGACTTGTGCTAGTGTTTGTAACTCCCACTAGCGGGCGTCAGTAATCATGATTATATTCGAGACAAAACTATGCAGGATTTACAGAAAAACCCGAAATTCACAATCAATCTCAAATTTCATAAATAACCAGAAAATTTCCATGTGAGCATGGATTTAACAGAAAATCATAATTTCCAAAAAATTCTCAAATCATCAAAGCAGTTCAGTCAATTCCAAATAGGCATGCTCTACTCCAGAAAAACAATGAAATTCTCTTTTTCATTCCAATCATGCTCAATCCCCTCAGTTTTCTCATAAAATCATCACAATTTTCATTTCAGTTTAATCACACTCAAATGCTGATAAAATCAATTTAAACCTTGCCACCATCTCAATAACAATTTAAAACATGCTTTGAAGTCGAATGGCTTTACCATAATTTACTTACCTCATTCGCACAAAACCGAAGACTCGATCTCAATGCTAAACTGACAGAACGATCAGGAACCTAATCAAAATACCCAAGAGTTAATACCGCACTACCACAAATTCACAGTGAAATCATCTTTAGCACTACCCCTAATCACGGTGTTATGTCTATTAATCTCCACATAACCAGACATCTCCAAATTTATTCTCATATTACAAACTAAACATTTAAATCCTTGTTAATTGTTGACCCTCTGTGTGTGAACAGTACCCGTGAACAGTATCCACAGTGAACAGTGACGGTAACTTCAAAATTTTGGGTAAAACACTAGCTAATTTCACAGGATTTTCTCTATAAAATTCACAGTAGCCAAATTAAGCTAATTCTACATAAACCAAGCACAAAAACACATTTAAAAGGGCTGCCAAATTCATCCCCTATCCCAGCAGATTCGGACAACACAGAGCATCAACTAATGGACAAAACCTAGCAATTAAATGGGTAATTTAAGACTTAGAGGAGTGGCCATCATACCAGAATTTTCCGACAAGCCACACCAGGTCCGGCTGGGAAGAAAGCCGGCGGCAATTCTGCAGGGGGCTTACTGGGCTTGCAAAATTGAAGGAACCAAGAGCAATTAAGGTAAACCCAAGGCAATTCAAAGCTAAAGAGATGAATTCATGGCTGCTTCTTACCAAGAAAGACCAAAGGATTCAAACCCAGCAGAACCCGACGGACAAGGGAGGAAGAAGCAGAGCAGATCCGGGATTTCTAGGTTGAGAGGGAAGATTCTAAGCCCCAAATCTTGTGATTTAACAAGAAAAGAAGAAGAAATTCATCTGGGGAGTTGCAAAGACTTTTGTTATTGATCCTGTTAGTCTCTACAGCATAGCTGGTGGAGAATTTGTTTTGTTTGTCACATGACCAGTGGAGGATGGGTAAACCCTCTACTTTGTAAGAGATTTAATGCTATTTTAGCCAATGTTGTGTGTTTTTCTAGATGCGTTTTAGGAGCTAGATTACTTGGTAATTCTGCTGCTCCTTATCTTTCTGAAAGTCTTATAGTGAAATTTCACTTTTTCCATTTGGAGCTTCGTGGTCTTTTCATGTGGTTCATTTTTCTGTATTGGTTAATCAAGAGCAGTGATTATTCAATTGAAATTGTTGTCTTTTTGTGAAGATTGGCAAGTTGTCATAAAGTTAAACTCTCTATTGTTGCCAATCTCTACATTCTTGACACTTGGAAACTGCTTGGAACTCTTGAAATCCGTCTTGAATCTTTCTTGATATTGCTTGTGCTTGTTCTTGAAACTGAAATCCAGAAATGGATAATGATTATTGAAATCCTCATTATCTTGATTTTTGTCTGGAATTAATCCTTGCACTGTTTTTGGAATCTAGTTTGAATTGTCCTTGAAAACCATTCTTGTTCTGACACTGGTTCTTGTTCAAATTCTGTATACTGCTCTTGCTGAAATCCTGCATGTTCTGTTAGTTCTTGTTTCAGTATACCTGATGATCTTCTTGATTTTGATTTTTGTTCATATGGACACCTCTTTAGGAAGGGTGACGATTATTAGAAAATACCTATATGAGGCATTCTCGTTCCTGTCTCTTGCAAGTGTTAAATTCTGTATTCTTGATGCCTTAGCTTTGACTTGACTCTAGGATGACTTGACTCTAGGATGACTT